AACCACTTACCATCAGGTGGACTGTGTGCTCGTTTGTCACCCTATCGTATAAAAAAAAATTATTGGCTTATTCTCGATTTATATACTTTTGAACAGTTTAGCTTAGCTTGAATTAATCTACTTTTTAGCTGACATCAACAAATGAGGCAGTTTACAAATCAACTGTATGTTTATTTTTTGTGTGACCCGATTTTAATGATAAATTTTTATTAAAATACGTAAAACTCCAGGTATGGACCTATTATACATTTCAGGAATAACTAAACTAGATGGCTATGTTTTTAATGGAACTATTTAGACCATAATGGGATTATAATTTCCTAAGTTCAATAAAAAGCATAAAAAATAACTATTCATTAAAATGAAAGCCGAATTCAAAAAACTAAAAAATTATTAATTACACATTCTTAAGTCGGGACTTTAATTCATCTATACTTTATGTCTCAGCACCGACTTCTATGTAATATTTGTTTTCTATTTTAGCTGTTTGAATTCGGCTTTTACCTTTCACACAAAGATAATTATATCTTCTTGGAGTCTTGAAACATGTTTATTACAAAAGCAAATTCCCGTCGGTTACGTCCTGGGCCATGATGTCATCCCATATTTACACTCAATAAGTTAGAGTATTTAAAATTATATATAATACAAACTATTTTTCTAATTACAGAATTTATGATACATATCCGGCACAATATGAGCAAACTGTCTTTCGCAAGCTACTGAGAGAATACGAGAGGCCGCAAGACTTCCGCAACGTACCAGGAGTACCGCGTGCGGATTATTCAATTTACCAGAAAGCCACAAAGTACCTGAAACACGCTTGTCTTGCAATCATGTTCCAGTACACCCTGGAATGTACGCGAACGTAAAAACTGGATGTCAGGTATAATTATTTCTAAGACATGCGATGTGACCTTGCCCTACAACAGTCAAAAATGCATGGAAGGCTTATGTCTCAATTTTATTTAACGTAAAGTTACACAGAATCACATTAGATTAGTAAATATGTGTTAGTATTATCTAAAATAATCTAAATATATTATATACCGGTGCTACCTAGCCTTTGCCAGAGATCTCTCTGCCAGAAAGAGTCAACTGTCTAAGCAGAAGACTGAATGTGGTAGCGTCGTTGCCTGGGCAACTGAGATTGTGAGTGAGATTGAGAGGTTTTATTGGCAGCTCTACACGTCACCGTTGGAGCCTCACGCAAGTGTGAGTAACGACGCAAGAACAAGTCTTATCCAACACTATTCCGATTATATTCCGGACGTCAGTCTGAGCGAGATTAGAACGGCTCTCCAGCATCTTAAAAACGACAAGTCAACGAATTACAGCGGAGCTTTTGAAAGCGGGTGAAAAACAGATACTTAAAGTCCTTCAGAAGCTTTTCAATTCCGTCCACCGTGGTGGCACTACTCCGGAGGCATAGAGCAGAAATATGGTGGTTTTGTTCTTCAAGAAAGTGACAACGCTCCTTTGAAAAACTACGGACTGTTCCCTTCTGAGCCGCATCTACGTGCTGTTTTCGAGAGTCATTATGATTCGTCTCGTGCGCAGACTCTACGACTTCCAGCCTACGAAAAAGTCGGTTTTCGAAAAGGCTTTTGTACCATAGACCATATAAATACTTCGGCAAATTTTACAGAAGTCCGAAGAGTATAATCTGTCACTTTGACTTACGTATGTGGACGATGAGGAAGCTTTTGATTCCGTCGAAATTTAGGCAGTGCTGCAGTCCCATCAGCGGTGCCAAGTAGACTGTCGGTATATCAAAGTGCTGAAGTGTTTGTACAGTAGGGCTACGATGGCTATCTATATGTTATAATATAAGTATAGGACTTTTATAAAACTAATTGAGCGTAAATTAATTCGCTATTTAGAATAAATAATCAAATTGAAAATTTGCAAGCCGCTTCAATTCTACGGCCTATGAATAACTTCAAATTGAACAAGTTAAAAGCATTTTACCTTAGGCGTGACATACCTACAGTTTATTACAAGTTGATAATTTTAAATTACAATTTGGAGGTCTTTATTTAAAAACAATTTGTTAATTATCAAAGCAAACATCTCCCGAAGTAAATTGCGTTTTACGTTGCTTTCAGAAAATAATATTAATTATCGAAGTATAATAAGTTTTTTGAACAGTTTTTGTTTCTTTATGAAAATTTTTATAAGTTTTGCCATAAACCCAAATATCATCAATATGATTAGCAATGCACTTTGTAACTGTATTTTCAATATGATAATAATATGTAACCTAAATATATAAAAAGACATCGATTTTTAATAATATTTATAACCAAAAACCAATCGCACCAGAGTTACATAATTGCACGGAGACCTT